GCCTTGGGCCTTGACATGGAGATCATCGCTGTTCATGCTGAGGGTCCCGCAGGGAGAATCAGGGCCTTCAACAAAGGCCTTTAGCTGGTATTCTCTAAGTAGTGCTTATGGAACTGGAGACTGGGTGTCACTTGACATGAGAGGATATGAATATTATCATCTTCCATATGTCGCCTTCTTTTCGTTAGCTTACTAGAAGTCATTGAGTCTTCTCTTCCAGATCTTGTCCCCCTCCCAATCTTATCACACGTCCTAGCCCTCTTTGAGGTCAGAAAGACCTTCTCGGAAGTTCAAGCAGGCTTTTGGTGTACATGGCTCTCCGATTTCCCTTCATTTTTGATTGACTCTGGTATGACAGATCCTCACGCTATGGCAATCTACCATGTCCATGGCACCAGCATGCCCTGCGGTGTTCTAATACTTGGCTCAAGGCCTTCGGTTGTGTCCACGCACAACTGAAGGAGCAGTTGTTTCCCCAAAATGGCATACATGGGGCTTCAGTGTAGCTGTATATATGCGACTATTTGCGGCTCTTCAACTTGATCCCTTGGAGGTGGCTGGTTTTTGATTACGACCTGATTCTGGAGTGTTCACGATGCTTGCTCTCAGACCACCAGTATGCATCCATTTTCTAGTTTGCTCTATTGATAATCACTTTAGCAGCCTGCGATCCGGATCAACAACATGCTTTCTATTGGTCTAGTCGGGCATCATCGATCTGTGACGTGATGGAGCAACGATAAGTACTCATTCGTTTCTCAGAGCGCAAGGATATTTGATATCGAAAATCTGGGCTGGGAATCAACTCACCTTTCTTGCAAACTCAATGGATTTGCAACATTCAGTATCAGAGTATAACAGTGTCCGATCCATCATCAAGTCAATTGTGATATGAAATCAGCCTTGTACATCGTCCTTTGTGAAGGAGTGATAAGGTGAATTCAATTCTGATGTATTCGCATGTTTTGCAGATTTGCATGTTCCCAAAGCATGGATCACAAAGGATGACATTGATTCACTGGCGTCTACAACATTGTTTGCATGAAGACTTCGCAGCAACACGTAGAAATCGACCTGTAAGTTGCAACACCGATCTGCCTCGATGCAAATATGCCTTGGTTCTGCACTCCCTTGACTGCATATCCATCCCAGCCTGGAAAATGGGAAACAGTATGTATTGTTAGTCCGTTTCATTTCGAATACTCATCTCAACCATGTTAGCGTCGTCCAAATTATTATACCAATTACTATGCAGCTTTGTGGTTTCGATTTGGAATCGCATGTGCTCTGTCCTTTCGACTGCCCTGACAATGGCAGACTCATCTCCCGATGAAGCATCCGAGCTTGACGAGAATCAGACTGCAAACATACCATCCGAGTCTCAAGAGGTAATATTACACCAGAAAGCAGTTCTACTGAAGATGATGATCCTATTGTGCAGGATATCGTGCAGTCGTCCTTCAGCTTCCATCCAGAACGACTCTCTGAATTATCAATTGTGGGGTCTGCTACAGCCATGATTAACAACCATCCGGCCGGTGATATTGCACATAGTAGCGATGCATTCCCCAGTCCTGGTGATTATGAATTTCACTTGCTGGTGAGAATGTCGAGGGTAAGTAAATTAACCGAACTGAACACAAGTTTATAACACATTTCTCTACTTCCGCAGTGTTATAGAACCTTTCTCACTTCCTATACTAAGGCAGGCCAAGACAAATAGTCAATCAAAATTCCATTGCAATAGGCTTACACTGGGACAAAACCTGCTATACCATCCTCCCTTGGCGACACACCCTCTGCTACTCTTGGTGTTCAGGGCATCTTAGATGAACTGAATGCCACACTCAGAATGTCATGCATCCTGGACATACTGACCCTCTCTTCCTTTCTTAAACACTGCATCAAGAGTGACTATGACTTTGGCACTGCATATGGCCACCTCCATTGGGCATGGGAGAATGATATTTATCCTGAGCAGCCACATGAGTGGACCATCCAAGATAGATTATGCAGAAGTGGAGATTGGGACCAGGAGGAGTGACAAGGAGCACTCATAGGGAACCGGATTGTCAATGTGTGGTTGCCTCCTTGATGCATCTGGGATCTTTGTGCTAATTGGGTGGTACCATGGTGGAGCATCAGAGGGAATATTAACAACTGGCCTTGTCTGATATTGCATGCATGGGTAGATGTGAAGGATTGCATTGATGTTTGGATGGCCATTAATGGGAAGGAATGGCCCATACGGATCCCAAAAGACATCAGCCTTGACCTCATCTGGATCAAGATGCTGAATCTGGGAGCGGAATATGCATGGTTGGATGTCCTCTGTTATAGACAGGAGGGTGGGCCAAGGGATGATCTGCATGTGGAAGAGTGGAAGTTCAACATGCACACACTCAGATGCATGTATAACAAGATTCAAGCAAGACCAAAGGTGGTGATCTACCTGAGCAGGCTAGGGTGCCCTCTGAGCTTGAAGGAGGGTGATTTACAGTGTGATCAGTGTTGGTTTAGGCATGCACAGACACTACAGGAGATCAGGGACTGATAGGATCATAGCTGGGGATACACCTGACAGACCACTGCACCATGTCAAGTGAATAGAAAAGAGGGAAAACTCCAAGGGGGAGATGCTGAAGGGCTTTCACTTGTATCTGAGGTCCTTTGAGCAAGAGCAACATCAGTATCTGCATATGATTCAAGAATCTGTGCAGATCCACCTAGATGGAATGGATAGGCTGATAACTATAAAAGCCAGCCACTTGGCCAGTCATTGATGGCATAAATGTGCATGGACACTGAAGGAAATTGACAATGAGAAGAAGAAGATTGTTGAGGGAGATACACCCAATGGCCTGCTGCATGTCAAGCCAATGGATGGGAGGAACTATGAAGACGAGGAGATACTAGCAAAGTTTCATGAACAGCTGGAGTTGCTGAACAGTGAATGAGGTTGTTTGGCTCGCTTGCGAGCATGCAGAAGCAGGTGTCGACCAACCCAGGAGAAAAAGTTGCAGCCTTAGCATTTTGTCTACTGTTCAATAAGTTACCAGCATATGATGGGAATCAGCTGCATGAGGATGCATGGAATGGCCCTACAAATACAATGAATGTATGGCAACAATCTGGACTGTTCTTCCTCTATCCTGAACTGGGAAGCACAAGCAAGAAATGGAGACCATCCTGGGACCAAGTCATGACATGGCCTCTACCAGCAGATAGTAGGTCTTTGGTGGTGCTTAACTGTGATGACAAGGCAGATGTTGACTAGTACAATGCATTCTGTATTGGAAAGGCATTTGTATGGGGATTGTCTGTGGGATGCATGGAAGGGGGTGATCAACATGGAGAGTTGATTGTCAAAGATGCATATGGGTCGACACATATGTTCACAATCATTGCCACCCACCAGTACCCAATACCTGAAGACATGTATGCACTGCTTGGTAGCTATAGCAAGCTGTTGAAGTCCAACAGTGCCATGCAATATTGGGTTGTTGGATGACTACTGCCAGAGCAGAGGTTTGAGAAACTGTCAGTGTTCAGAATGACTGACTGGGATGAGATTGTGAGGCTGGAGATCATAAAGAAGAATGCTAAGACTTATCTTCTTTGATAGGGTGTGGCTTCTTAGAGTCTTAGTCCTGTTGTATGCTCATGACATGCAATGCTACTGTGGACACTGCAGTGTAATGTTACATATCTATATATCTAAATACCTACTTATCTTTTAGTCATACAGAAGCATTAGAGGGAAGAGATGTAAACTCTGGGATGTAACTCATCCTAGGTATATCATTATTAGCATTTCAGCATTGCACTAGGAAGTTAATTGTGAGCAATGAGCATTTGGAGAACATTGCCAAGGAAAAGGATCTGAGGGCTCGAATTTGGAATATTTGCTGGTATCTGATGCCAGTATTTTTTTATCATGCCATCTACAGCTGTGCTAGATATGTAGTATTGTTATGAAGGAAATGATGAAATCATGCACTGCCTTTCTCCATGAATATTTTTTGCTGGAGGTCAGGTTATGAAATGAGCAGTAAAGAATTTTGATTTATTCACAGACTGAGATGTAGCATATTGGAGGTTACGAAGATATGTGGTGAGAAAACAATGTGGATGTGGATGACTCTGAAAGCTGTGAATGGAACACCAAAGCAAATGCCTAATCCTGACCCACTTTTTTCTTCTTTCACCACCACCATGTCTTCTCCGATTTTCTGGTATCATCTCGTTCATGCAGTCCTCACTGTCCATATTTCAGATATACCAGAACCTTCAAGATCTCAGCATGATAGTGTGATAGGATCTGTTTATGGCCCTGGAACAAAAGTGTGAGGTAGCTCAAGGCCGTTGTTTTTTTAAATTATGGCTAACCCTCTTTCTCAGAATGATGCAGAATCCTTTGGTCCACTATCACAGACGTCAAATATACCAACAGAAAAGTCTTACTCGAGGCCACAAAGCCCTTCTGAAGACAGTCATTGTGCTCCCTTGGAATCTCACTTGTTCTTATTTACCTCAGTGCAGGCAAATCGAGAAGCATGGACAAGCATGTGTGGTATATCGGTACACTTATCACAAGGAGACTGTATTTTTGCATGTCTTGAAAATATTGAACAACCAAGAAAGATATGATTAGCATAGTGGAGAACATGATAGAGACACCATAATTCAATAGTATGTTTTTCTTTCATCTTTCTCTAAGCTTTTGTTGAAGGTATTATTCAGAAGGTTGACTACCACTGGAAAAAAGAGATGTTTGTAGGCCCTGGTGATCTGGATGCAGTTGGTATCATTTGCATACATGATATCATTAATGAAAAATTGAGTATTTCTTTCTGACGTCAGATTCACAAGAGTGTAAAGGTGTGTGACCCATCATCAAGTCAGTTTTATATCATCCTTTGTGAAGGAGTGACAGGATCTCCACATTGCAGATATCAGTATTCCTAGGGGTTGAAACATGCGGGATAATATAAATATGCGAGCAGAGAAGATGAGGAAACAGAATCTCTGAAGAGTCTCCAGAGTGACTTGTACCAAATTATATTTTGGTCCACATTGCCATCATCAGCTCACTTCTGAATGTGTGCAGTATGTGCTGTGCCGATTAAACATGCATATGGTACAAGCCCAGATCATGGTAGTTGTCATTAAATCATGTATCTGCTGACACTCAAAGCTGTGATGATTTATGTTCGCAGGTGCAAAGCGAACAAGATAGCTGACAGGTTGAGAGAAAGAAGTAGTGGGATGGTCTTTTGAGACTGGTCTAGCCAGCCTATGAATGGGTAATGACATTCGACACAGTGAGATGGTGTTGTCCAGGGCTTCTAATGCGCATGATATATAGCCAACTATAATTGATCATCATGCAGCTAGGTTCAGAGCCGATAGGTGCTTGGTACCTCGTACTCGGAATGAAATCTGGTTACAGATGGTCCCAGTTCTGAAATGCAAGCATGTTAATAGACAAGTTAACATTGGCTACCGAAATGATGAGTACAGGTTCTGTATTTTAGCCCCAAGTGTTGTCCAACCTTAACTGGTCTGCAGCATGAATCAACATTTATTTGCTTCGTACATGCATGGAGATGGGAAATGCAGAGAAAATGAGTCAGGTTGCCACCACTAGGAAAATTAAAAAACAATATCAGCGAAATTTAGCTTCGTTCAATGATGTACACATTGCTGAACAAAGACATCACATGCATTAAGAATATGCATGACTTCATCTGCTGTCAATTGGGAATGATCCTGAAAAGAAATGATGATGCTAGTTCACACTAATGTGTGCAGCTATTCATGTCAGTATCATATGGATGCCAGTCAAATTGGGGGCCAGATGTATCATTTGCTTTAATATGGACTATGCATGCCAACACATATTTCCATGGCTTGCCGATCTGCACAAAAGATGTGCCGATGAGCCAAAATGACTGTGTTGGTACCATCAGCGTACCGACATCTCCAGGGAAGAGTAGACATGTGAATCATGATGTCTCAACATTGTAGAGACTATTCCTGTTCAATGCTGGTCCACTGCATTGAGATGGACGGGAATATATTTCAATGATTATTGCCGGGAAGTCTCTCAGGTGAGGAAAGTAGGTTGAAGGTAGTACAAAGGTCAGCCCTGCAGCTGCGTCAAATGTCATTATTGGAAAGGGCTTATTGTGGATGGAACACCACATCATCCTCTTGCGAGGGCTCATAGGCACTACTGCACTGGTGATTTCACAATGGATCTTAAGCATCAATGGACCATGGTGCCTGCTTCATAGGTCAAGAAAGATGGCACAGATGAGATCCTAACAAAAAAAAACAAATCAGCATTGCCTGGTTTGGGTTCAGAAAACAGAAACTGAATGAACAGCAGGTAAACCTACAATGTCAGTGAGTTACTCCATGCCTTAGGACACCTGAAGGTTGTGGAAGTGGGTCACCACTGCTGTAGACTGGGCTTTGGAAGCCCCCCTAGGAACAAATTATGAGGGATTGCACTATAGCCACATGACAAGATGCACACCATGCTTGTTTTATGACTGAAGACTGTGAAGGATAGTGGCATTCCATTTTCCTCAGGATGGTAGACAACAAGGTAAGTACCATGCCAGTGTTGAGCCGTCTGTGAGACCCAAGTGGGTTCAGTGACCAAGATGCAGGATGCAGCTATTTTGATGGAGATAGGGGGACAGAGTGGCAGATATAGGCAGGAAGATGACTGATGCATGGGAGATGCAGGACTTTTTCCTTGTATTTTGATCAGGGACTAAGTAGCTGATGACCTACTGCACCTGATACTGTCGTTACCAAACTGACTCCCCAGTCCTTCAAAAGGACTAGGAAGATAAACATTTCAGGAAATGCAACATCGAGCATCACCCTCGGGTGAATAAGCAAAGTGCAGAGAACTCTGTTTTCTGAACAGAATATGTTGTTAGTGAAAAAATCCGAGTCTGTCAGTGGTATTCCTACATTGTTTGCAGGGGAATAGACCACCGTGATGAGACTCGATTCACAATCCACTTCTTGAAAATAGATTCAAGTAACCAATCAGGGTTGGTTTCGGGTTGATGATACTGATAGGCCTAGATAATGCTAGCTTATCATAGGTATGTCTTGTTAATCATTCTCTGAGCATAAACAGTATCTTCATGGTGGAATCAATGTTGTACAATTAACATGGTGTTGAAGCCAGCCATACACCAAAAGGGCTCGGTTTGTCTTATTGGTAAAACAGCAAACAGAGTGCACTTCTAAGGCTCATATTCCTCATATCCTCGTTGGCACTGAAGGAGGGCAAGATTCTGATAGAACATTGTGAAGTAGGCAGAAATCAAACATGTGAAGGAGAGAGGAGGTATAGTAAGTGGTCATAAATCCTCTGATGTGAAGCTCCCATACCCTTTTTCTTGCATATCGTGCTTGATCAGATGTCGACACTGTTCACTTGCAAGGTGCCCTCATCTTTGGAGCAGGGATCAAGGGCTGTCAATTTGACAACTGAGGTTTGAGGGAAGGCTAACCAAGGGGGTGCTCTATCTGAGCATCTGGACCATGGAAGCATAGTCGAAAACAGTACATCAGGAATGCTAAAGATGCTGAATGAAATTTGGCTAACCAGAAAGTCAGAGGATATCAGGATATGGAAGACATTGCCTGGGACCAGCCAACGACAACCATCATGAGTGAAGTATATCCGCTCCAATAGTTCTGCATGTTCCCTGCTTCAACAATGTCATAGGCACTGTGCCTTGAAGTTGAAATATGAACGGCTTGAGTAATTTTGAACGTCCGCCTCATACAAACTTGAATCCTGAATAGGATTGTTTGAGGTCCAGCAAGCAATGTAGTTGCACACCTGGACAGCAGGGACAAGGGATGATATAGGAATGCCATGTTGGATGAGGTGGCAGACTGGATGGACATACAGGGCATGTTGTAGGTGACCAGAGAACCTGTGTTGATGTCTTATGTAAGTGATGAGCCAGTCTTGAACCAGTCTGTGAGCCTGCTGCCGTATTTCAAACTGAGAAGAGTATGGGCTCCATAAGAGAAGAAGTTGGTATTGTCCTCACAAGTAACAGTCTGTGTGTCATTTCAGGAAACAAAGTTATTGGATGGTGTATTCTCCTAATCAGCAGTGATAAATAGTATGCTCACTAAAGAAATAAACATACATACAACTAGTTTATTGGATTGAGCAGCTGAAGCTAGAACATCATTCAAAGTTGTGTGTTCTGATGCAGAACTGGTTGATAATTGCCATCCATTCTGAGTGCCCTGGCCTTTGAGAGCACCAATTACTTTCATCGAGAAGATTTGAGCTCGGTCTGATGGCTCTTGCAGTAGAGCTCATATTGCTAGTGTAGGTTCTTTGGCTGGCATCAGTCAACATCCAAAGGATTTTGGGGGATGAAGACATTGTGATGCCACCTGCTGTTCTCTGACGATGTAGATAAGACCAATTATGATTGCGACAAAATAAGGTGTAGCTCACAAAAAGAGATATCCAGGCCCGGGACTGACTCTATGTTGGAGCACAGATAGTTTCTTGACCTCCACAAAGTTGCCTATGCCACCTCGTATCTGCTGTCTGAGACCAGAAAAATGAGACCTGGCAGACATTGCAGAGTAATATCACCTAAATACAAAAAAGTGTTTGGTTCCAGCTTGCAGAATTAGGGTTAGGGTTAGGACGGTGTACCCCCTTCGGCGAAGCCGTTGGGGGTACACAGTATGAGTAAAGAATACTCACCTCAAAAGTGTTTTGAGGATTGCGGTATTGCTTGCTAAAGCGAATCAAGGTCCAACAGAGGGATGGGGTCTCCATCTCTCACCCTGTTTCGCTTTTATAGCTCTTCAGGGACCTGATTCATAAGCAAATGACGCAAATGAGAGGTTTTGGCGGACCAATCATTTTCGCTTTATCAGCAATCACGCAATCCGCAGCACAAATGAGGTGATACGGTTAGTAATTACGGTACGAAGTCGTACCATTTATTATTCATACTTACTTACTCAGCGGCTTCTTTTTAACCGGTTAGTCATACCATCTGACTAATTTTACCGTTTTGCCGTCGGCTACTAAGTTAACCGGGCCCGAAGGCCTAGAACCTAGCCGGCCGTTCGCCGGTCCGGTGGCCGAGTCTAGAACGTCGGACCGTTAGGTCCGGGTTAAGGTTCGGGTTATCCGGTTAGGGTTTGGGGCTGAGTAAGCATTAATTAGTATAATTCATTAATGCGTGACTGCGTCAACGATTAAGTTGACAGAACTTACTTAGGGTTAGGGTTAGTCCGCTGGCAGACTGCCTGCCATTAGTTTCCGAGCATTGGAAACCAGTAAGTTCCTAATAAAGGGCGTCGTTATTTTATATAGCGAAAGAATGTACAGTATGATTATAAGTGGGAACGTACCCGACTTGATTTAACTATTACCCCAGGCGGATTTTTATAATAGTCCAACTACTTGCGACCGACCGGCAAAATACCTGGTTTTACTTTATCTGTCCACAAGTCTGCTGCTTCGATCCGAAGACCTAACAGAGTCGCATCAGGATGTGCCCATAACCATATCTATGAAGACCTGCGGATCAACGCTGCTTCTGTCAGAATCGTCGCCAGCAGCAGACGAATCAGAAGGTGGAACGTTTTGATCCGAGGATAGAGAATCTTCATCGTACTTACGGAGAACCATCTTTTTCCAAAGACTGGTCATGTCGAACAGATTTTTAGTACGTTT